TATTCACTTATTTATGATCTAAATTCATAATCAGTCCTTAAAAACAAAGTTATCTCATATTTTCTCTAAACACTTCCCTTTTCCTTTAAGCATATCTATTTATTGTTTAGAGTTTAACAATATTAACTTTCTTGTATTTAATCAGTGCATTCATCCATCTGATTAATACAACCTTTGCAAATATATTTACAGTGCATCCTTAAAAACCTTATTTGCATTATTTATGATCTGATAAATAAATTAGTAAATCTTCATCTTTATACATCCTAACATTTCAATTAATCTAATTATTCACATACAATATGATCCTTTTTTACTCTTATTATCATTTGTCTTTAATTTTATACGATTACAAACACATGTTTTTAAAGGTACAACACGCATAACTGATTAAAGTAGCAGCTAAAACATTGTCATTCAATTAACTTCTATTAAATCATTATCTCCAAATGACTTAGTAATTTAGCCATATGATATTTTAAAAGTCAATATTAGATATACTCCATCTTCACTTGATTAAATAGAATAATCTGAAATTATTTTTACATCTCCAATTCTCCAATTGGAAAATGGCATTATTTAGTGTTCAGTAATGGTTTACCACCAACTAAATTTCCATCCACTACTGTAAGTATAGGATTAAATAAAGATTATGGTTCTGTTGTACATTTTAAAAATCCATTTAAAGATTCAATTATTGTAATTAAATTGGAAACAGAAGGACATAATAAAGAAGTTTTTAAATTATTAAATAGTAAAAATGATAAAATTCTTGTACCAGGAATGAATGTATTATAAATTCCTTTTTCATTTGTTCCCAGAGAAATCACTTGTTATTATGCGGAAATAATTATTTAAATGAATGAAAAGATATCTTGAACTTTTCCTATAAAAGGAGTAACAGAAAGCATTTCTAATTGAACTTTATTTCATTTTAAAGCTAAATGTAGAGAAAAGTGGGAAGATGAAATTAAAATCGGTCTTTAAGGAATTGCTTAAACTTTATAAGCTGATGATAAATTTGATTTTGAATTGGCTAATATTCCAGTAGATTTAAACAATTAATATTATTTATTAATTTGGATTTTGATCTTTTTCTTGTTGTAATTTAATAAGATTTTCTAATTTAATTTAATCAATATCCGAAAAGATTTATTACATAAATAAATTTATTCAATAAAAGAAATTTCTAAAATCTTCTTCTTTGATTGTAACAAATGACTAACAAATGCTTTAGTGTGAAATGTACTAAAAATTAATTATTTAATCCTCATGAAAATCTCCATTTTGCTGTTCGATTTTAGCCTATGAAACCATTTAAAGCTAATATTGAATTTATTGTTCTTAGATAAACAGGTGGTAGATGGAAGTATTTATATTAAAATATATATTTATTAGATATAAAATAATCTTAGAAGCCACTAAACCTGATGAAGATGATGTAATTATTATTAGTTCACCTTTAAATAAAACTGCTAGTGTATCCTTTTAATTAACTAATAAAACTAAAGGATATGCTAAATTTTATGCTGGATTCACTCCGAATTTTCAGTTATACCAAAAATTGGTGATCTTGAACCATATGGAAGAGAAGGAACTACTTTTGTAATTTAATTTATAGATTACTTACTATACTCCCATTGAAAATGGTAAAATTAGAAAAGGTAAATTAGTAATTTAAACTGAAGATATGTATTGGTACTTAATTATCATTATTATAAAATAGGTCTTATTTGATTAAAGGTATTCTTCCAAAATATATACCTCCATAAATCAAACAATCAAATATTGATAATCATTTAATGAAATCTTAAATTTATTAATCCACCATTATTGATTAATCCAAAAACTACGTTGTTGAAAATATTAAAAAAGCAAGATAACTTACTCCACCTACATCAAAAAGATAAATGTTTTTAGAAGCTTCATTTCTTAAAAAATAAAATATCTATATTTTATATATATTGATATATTATAATATCATTTAAATCAATCTTAATTTATATAAAGAAAAATTTAATTACTTTGCTTTCTCAATAACTTTGGTTTCAAAGTATATTTTCATTCTATAATTTTTCATCAGATTTCTTTAACTTTATGCTCGAGACTGATATTCATTTACAATATATGAATCATAAGTTCTAATTTTCGGCGGTGACAGACATTAAATGTCCTTTAATGATATATATTCTTTAGACTTAACATAAATATGATATATATTAATTATTATATTATGATTCATTTATTATATTTTGGTTGAGCTTTCAAATAAAATTTGAATAGTTTTATTTTTAAAACATTTTTTTCAAAATATATATTATTGATTAATTAATTACATTAGCAATTTGATTTAGAATAAGTTATTTTCTTTCAATATAAATTAGATTATAAGAATATTTCAGTTAGATCAACCTATTAAATAATACGATTTAATATCTTTTTCGTAATATAAAAGTCAAGATTAACTTATCTAAAAATGATAATTAAAATGAAAAAGTTTTTGGCAATTGCATTACTTATCCTCTGTATCACAGCTAAAAAGCACCACAAACAGGCAACAGGAGAAGATGTTGAAGCAAATCCAATGTTTTAATGTTTTAAGGATCACTGTATGGATTAGGCATTTGAATGCCTCTCTGATGAAGCCTGTACTAAAATATTGGAGACTTGTGGTCAAAAATATGGAGGAAAACATATGTAAAGAGATAAAGTAATTATTATTATATCCTTAGCTTATGGAATGTACCGCAAATAATGAACTTTCCGCTGCATATTCTAATTGCATGAATAACAATTGTGCGTAATTTGCACCAACTATGAGATTTTTCGACAAGAGAAAATGAACATTAAGATGATTTTTTAAAAACACATTCAAAATTATCTAATATTGTTAAATATATTTCTTATCTCTGTTTAGACCTAACACACAA